TCTCCCGTCCTAAGTTGACAGTTTCCGGAGGTGTGGGGGGGATTAATCTTTTGACCATAGGGTCATCCCTTAGGTCTCTCCTTAAGCTACCGTAATTAGCCTTCCTAAAATCCGGGATCGAGGCCGAATTTTCCTTCTTCCTGCCATTCCATATTATGTTAAAATATATGGCTTTATGATCACTGTTTCCTAGTTCGTCTCCAATCCCAACATCTTTTACTAGATTTTCATTATTACTGAGAACTAAATCGAGGATATTATTTCCTCTAGTGGGCGAGTTTATGAATTGATATAAAAAACTATCTTGTACTACTTCTAGAAAATCTTCAGATTCATTATCGCTAAGTTGATTTTTCCAATCTAAGCCTGAAAAGTTGAAATCGCCTAGAATACATACATTGTTTCTATCAGATGCCTTCTTTATTTCCTCCCATAGCAATTTACCATCGTTCCTACTCAAATTAGGTGGTCTATATATAACACCAATGACTACGGACTCATTGCCCTCACCAATCTCTACCCAAATACTTTCATTGTCGCTATTTGTTTTAATGTTTGATTTATTGCAGCTTTTTAATGACACCCTGATATACACTGCTACACCGCCCCCTCTCCTTCCTACTCTGTCAAATTTAAATAGGTTATGTCCTGGAATATGAAATTCTGCTAAAAAATGTTTGCTGTTTGAATTTATCCATGTTTCCGTTATTGCAATTATATCTATGTTCTCTGTACTAACAATGGCTCTGAGCTGGTCCATTTTGTTACACAAGCTTCTACTATTAGTATAATAAACACTCAATATATTTCTTCCGTTTCTATCTATTTTACATTTATTACTTTGATGTTTGTTATTATGACTAACTATATTTTCAGCATTATCTACTTCTGTTTCACTGTTGTTTTTTTCACATGGTATTTTCCTCTCTTTACCATTGACGGGATTTGGACATATTAAAACCCCACCTTTACTACCCTGTCAACTATCTTTGCTAGCACGGCCACCCCCTTCCTACTTAAATGCACCCCATCCCTTGCATACATACTATCATCACCATAGTACTGGCTCCAATTATCAATGAATGGCGTCGACAGCTCTTTACACTGTTCTTCCAACCAGCAATTGAAACCGATTGCACGGGACATCCATTCACGACTGGCACCACGTCTAGGTAGGATAGAGCAAGCAATAGGAGTTCCACCCTTCACCCTAATCTTATCTAGAGCTTCCCTATACAGTTTACGCAGTTCGACACTGGTAAGCTTACCTACGTCATTGCCTCCTGCACTGAGTAAGACTATGGGGTTGTCTCCACAGTCATCAATGACGTTCTCCACTCTCTCCAGTACTCTACCTATCCCTGCCCCGGGGAGACACTCGAGCTTCCTAACTTTAGTGCAGAGATTGTTACCTAAATACTTCACCATCGAGTCTCCCATGACAGAAATACATTTGACCTTACCTGAGTGTGGTGATTTCTTACCTGCGCTACTCCCTCTCTCCACACTAACAGAGGGAGTAGCACTCGTGGTGTTACTAGCACCTTCCTCACACTCGTCACTTAAGGTGCTGAACCTGTTGTTTAGGTCTACAGCTGAGTGCCTTTTTATAGTGCATTTTGTAGCACTAGCAGCAACTACCTTCCATGAATCCACTGCAACTTCACCGTCCTTCACGACACTGGCAAAGGTTTTCTTCTCCTCTAAAACTAGCTTCAAGGCTAAGTTTTCGCCCTTGAGACTCTGGACCTCCTTCTCAACCTTCTCCAGTCGGTCTTGCAAGGCAAGACAAAGCTGGAGAACGTGAGAGGTGGTCGAGTACTCGTCAGCAGCTGCCATGTCACTATATCACTCACTAACACTGACAGGAACACAGGTCCGCACTGGCTGAGGGTCAGAGGTCAACTGTACAATGCAGCTTGGTGCTGGGAAGGCAGCATGGTTACAAGCGTGATGTAGAGAGAGCTGGTTGGTGAGGGTGCTCAGAGGAGGACAGCTTGTGGGTTGCCATGCTCGCCGGCGGGAGCGAGGACCGCCAGGCAGGCGGAGGAGGAGCAAGGGCCGCCAGGCAGCGGCGGAGGTGGTGTTGCTGGCTGGTTGGTGTAGGTAGAAAGAGACAGGTCACCACGAGGTCAGGTATTAAATAGCGGGGGTAGGCGTGGCTTAGTAGTTGACCCCCGCTCCGTGATGTATGGCGGCGCTGGTTGACCTAGACCACAAGGCATACACTGGGGAATTGGTGGGGTCGGCTACGCAGCGACAAACAGCGTTTATAGGGGAGAAATCCACTACAATACTCCCCCTTCCCTCCAGGCGGTGTAGGAGACTTGTTGTCTGCAGGGTTGCATAGCACATGTGAGGCAGAACGGACTGTGCATGCCTCATGTGAGACAACGGCGATGGCGTGGATGAGCCGGTCGCTGGAGACAACTGTCTAGATACACAATATCTGTGGGAGTAGAGAGGGAGAAAAAGGGTGTGTGGAGGCGATGAATGTTGCGCTTCCCTCACGGCAGGTACAGAGTCGTCAGATGTGCCTGCTGGGGTGTGTGGGCCTGGGTCAGGAGCAGGGGCTGCGTCAGCAGAAGCGGATGAGAGCTCGTGACAGCAGCTGGGTCCACGACAGCAGCAGGGTGCAGGACATTAGCAGGGAGTACCTGAGGGAGAAAAGAGGGGTGTGTGGGTCCGCACCCAGGAACAGGGGCCGCGTCAGGAGAAGCGGCAGGGGGTACTGCTGGGCCGGTCGGCGTCTGAGGCAGGACGGGTGTGTTGGTCCGCGTCAGGAGCAGGGGCCGCATCAGGGGCGGCAGGGGTTACTGCTGGGCCGGGGGCGGCGTCTGAGGCAGGAAGGGTGTGCTGGGGTCAGTAGGACGTGGTGCTTGGGGCAGGAAGAGGAGCTGGTGTCTGCTTAGAGAAGCAGTGCTGCTCTAGGGTGTCTAACCTGCGGTGTAGAGACAGTAGTTGTAGAGCCGATGAGAGCTGCTTCTGTGTGGATAAGCCAGTCTTCCATGTTGCTTGAAGACTGGGAGAGTGATCAGTTTCTCCTCCATCCTGTGTGAGTGCGAATCTCCGGGAGTCACCATTTGTGGGAATGTGATGTTTGTGTTCACACTCAGGATGGGTTGGAGAAAGGAAACTCACAATGTGCTCTCTGTATACATGTTGTATTGGATGTACAATGCAGCTTGGTGCTGGGAAGGCAGCATGGTTACAAGCGTGATGTAGAGAGAGCTGGTTGGTGAGGGTGCTCAGAGGGGGACAGCTTGTGGGTCGCCATGCTCGCCGGCGGGAGCGAGGACCGCCAGGCAGGCGGAGGAGGAGCAAGGGCCGCCAGGCAGCAGCGGAGGTGGTGTTGCTGGCTGGTTGGTGTAGGTAGAAAGAGACAGGTCACCACGAGGTCAGGTCTTAAATAGCGGGGGTATGCGTGGCTTAGTAGTTGACCCCCGCTCCGTGATGTATGGCGGCGCTGGTTGACCTAGACCACGAGGCATACACTGGGGAATTCGTGGGGTCGGCTACGCAGCGACAAACAGCGTTTGCAGGGGAGAAATCCACTACAGTGTCTTCATTTCTTAACGCTATTTATGTAGGAGAGATTGAGGCACAGTCTTCTAAATCCCAAGTTTATTTCCTGCTCTCGTTACAATGAGTCTCCATATAAGCAATCAACAATCAAAGTAAATAATTTTTTTTACAGGGATTATCCCACCCGGGCACAGGTCACTGGCCCACATCGGGGCCTGGGGGGAGAAAATGACGCCAATTTATTTCGGGAAATCAAGAACCAAGCGGACTGTGAAGAGCTGTAGAAGGACCTCTGTGGGCTCCAGGAATGGTCGAAGAAATGGCTGCTGAGATTCAATGTCACGAAGTGTAAGAGGATGAACCTGGGGTGTACCAACGGTAAGGAGGCGTATCATATGTCCCAACGGGATGAAGAAACTGCACTAGTTGAGACTGAATGTGAGAAGGACCTAGGTGTGTATGTTGACAATGAGCTGAAGATCTCGGGCCATTGCGAGAAGAAGGTAAATCAGGCAAATAAATTATTGGGTCTTATAAGAAGGTCGTTCAGATATCTAGACGGTCCGTCCCTCGCAACGATCTTCAAGAGTGAAGTGCTTCCCCATCTGGAATACTGTCACCCCGTCTGGTCCCCGAGATATGCTAGGGACTGTCAGTTGGTTGAAAATGTTCAAAGGAGGGCCACCAGACTGGTGCCTGCACTTCGGCACCTCAACTACCCTGAGAGATTGGAGCGCCTGAACTTGCTTAGCTTATACTACAGGCGGGCAAGGGGCGACCTAATTGAGGTGTATAAGCATCTCAGGGGGCACTACTCAGTTGAGTGTCCTTACTTGGAGCTGGCGGACGCTCGCCCCACAAGGGGTCACAGCTCAAGATTGAAGAAGCCGCAGGTCCAGAAAACTGTGAGGGCAAACTTCTTCGGAGTGAGAGTTGTGAACTCTTGGAAAAGTTTTACAGAAAGTGTTGTGACGGCACAGAGTGTGAGCTCTTTCAAGACCAGACTTAACCAACACTGGAGCAGGTTCAGGTACATTCAGGAGCCGGTGCATGTCCAGTAATTGCCAACAGTGAGTAACAGAGACGTGACCGATCGCCGAAGCGGCTACTGAGCCGATCAGCGGTGAAGAGGATAAAGTAAAATTAAATAATAAAGAACAATGGAGTGATCCTACACAGGCCGCTGGCCTCCCCCCTTAGCATGGCAACCTCTAATAATGCCACAGGGGCCATTAGGTTAATATGGTTGGAGGTGTTACAAACGGTCAATTCATTTTGTATCTCGCCTAGGCTCGGTATCATTGCCAACTTATGGTCAAATATCTTGAAAATAATAGTCACATTCTCTTGTAACTTTCAAACCAGTTCCATATTTTAATATTTAATCCAAATTGTTTATTTTAATACACTTGACTTTTTATTAATTGTATCACAATAAATAAAATAATTTTACAATATTACTGTAGTTTGAAAAGGTGTGTCTGTTTGTTTACTTCCACGATGGCGTTTGGGATATACAGTCTGTTGGAGGCTGTTGTCCTCTTCTTAAATGCCGTTTGTATTCTAAATGAAGAGAGGTTCTTATCAAAATGTAAGTTTAATGATATATATACCTCTGTGTTCCTGTACATTTGTCGTTTTGGTGCAATCAAGACCAGACGTTGGAGGTGAACGTGGGTTCAGTGTTGTCAAATACCTTGAAGGCAGTGGATATTTAGCCGGGTCTGGTAGTGGTCTGAGAACTCTAGTGTAGTGTTCAAGGCTCAATGCTCTCGTTGTCTGGTAGTGGTCTGAGAACTCTAGTGTAGTGTTCAAGGCTCAATGCTCTCCTTGTCTGGTAGTGGTCTGAGAACTCTAGTGTAGTGTTCAAGGCTCAATGCTCTCCTTGTCTGGTAGTGGTCTGAGAACTCTACTCTAGTGTTCAAGGCTCAATGCTCTCCTTGCTAATAATGGTTATGGGTGAAAAGGATAGGATCCCCTAGACCGCTGCTTACCCAGTCTAGGAGTTCCACAGGTGACGTCTCATGATTATATAACTTGAATTGGTAAAGATTTGTTTTATGCCCAACTGGATTTTTATTACTAAAATTGTGTTTTATTGTGACTTTCGTCGTTGTTATAGGTAAGGTAGATCCAGCCATCTTAATTTTTGCAGGGTAAATTTGTATAAGTGCACCCAACTCTGTTAGAAAGTCAAAATATATTTTTCCAGTGTATTAATGTGTGTTTAGGTCGGTTATGACCTTCATTTCCGTCGGAAATTGCCATGTTTTTTTCATTTTTCTATTTATTATTTTTTTTGGTGGGGTGTTTTCCGAGAAAAAAAATAATTGCTAAGCGAATACAAAATAAAAAAAAAACACTAGAAAAACATAAACCTGACCTAACCTAACCTAACCTAACTGACTCTCTCCATATGATGGAATCACTTATTTCTTACCCTATTGGCCTGGTTCTCGTTCGCCGTTGGAGTTACCACAATGCCACATATGCTGGTCTTGACAATATTTACATTCGTTCTTGCACTTAGGACACTTTACTGAGGTCGGGAGAACACCATGGGATCGAAAAAATGCTGCAGTTTATTTGTTTTTTTCCCCAAAACTTGCAATCAGCTCCATGTAATTGAAGTGACACCCATCGCAGACTTCCATGGTCGAAAATGTATTTGAATTTTGAAATATGAGGGACCCAAAATAAAAATCGAATTTGATTGGGCCAAAAATACTGCAAATTAAACCACAAATCATTTTAATTGGTTGCCCCAAAAAATACGCTTTTGATTGGCCGCGTGACGTGTACAGGAACACAAAGAAGATCTACAAAACAAGAGCGAGGCTAAATCTCAGAAGACATCTGTTCCCGAGTAGGGTTGTCACAACTGGAATGGGTTACCTGAGTGGGTAGTGAATGTGGAGACGGTGGAAAAGTTTGAAGCAAAATTAGATAAATACTGGAAAAATCAAGACCAATTATATAATTATAGGGCACAAATATCCGCTACACGCAGCCACCGTCTGAGTAGAGAAGAGGCTATTGAGCTGGAGTCACAGGCGTGAGCCTCTTCCAGAAGATCATCTGTGAGTATCTGTGAGTATAATTTATGAAGGAGACACCCAGTGTGGGAGGTGAGGTAGGCGATAATGGCTGAAGATTAATGGAAGAAAATAGATAAAATTTTGGATACGCTACACCGTGATTATACATTTGTGACGGTAATGTAATAGAAGAAAATTAGCTTATAATTAGACGTCTTATTCGGATATAATAGATTAGGGGTAGGAATGTTGGGTGCGGAAATACAATAATACCTTTTGCAGTACAGTACAGTACTTTTCACTGCAATTAATGAGGAAAGCGTTACCACCAGAAGAAGTTGTTCGATATTGTTCAATTTTTCCACAGATGTTCTTATCATTAGAGCAATTATTTGATAAAGGTATAGAAGAGGATGACCACCAGAAGGAATTGTCCGAATTGGTTGAAATTTTTTCTCCACACTAATATGATATTGAACACAAAAATGGAAATAACAATGCATAGAACCTGATCTAATATACCCATAGGTTGGGTATGTTAGGTCAGGTTCTATGCATTATCGTGTTAATTTATGTGTTAAACAACTTACCTTTATATTGAGGTTGATACACATCAGCAATGGCGAGGAGGAATTCGTGGAAGCGTTCACCATCATTTATAGGAAACATCTCTTGAAGAGGGATTCAGCGAGGTAAACAACAAAAATGGCGCCGGAAGGAGAATTGCGAAGCGGGATGCAGTAAATAAAAAAAGTACTTAAAATCATAATAGAAAGGTGTCATTACTTTTACTATACTTAAAATCATCAAAACAATAAGTACTGTATAGCAAAAATAAAGAAAATCAAACAACTTCTGTTGGTCATCCTCTTCTACACCTATACCAATTATTTTAAAAGAAGCAAAAAAATGTTATTGGAATTTACTGTATTTTTATCTATGATCATAAATCACCTGTAGTAGGCAGGGCTCAAAGGATGACAGAAAGTGTGCAGTAAAACATGGTAAAAAATTATAATTTGACAATGAAATTGATATCTGTACGTGCTTTATACATGAAGAAATTAATTATTTTCCAAAAATTCTGCCAAGTACAGTACTCTCATGTCCACACACAAAAAAAAAATCAAATTACACCATGATGTTTCAGCAAAATTGCTTTCGTTGATAATAAATGTTGAAAAAGTACTTTCTGCTTAAGGGTCCGGGGGGCGGAGCCCCCCTTGGCTAGGAACTTAGGTAAGGTTAGGTAGGTTTCTTTGGTTGGTTAGATCAGGTTCTATTAGGTTCTAGTAAATGTCGCCTCTTTTAAAATACTTTCTATAATGATAAGAACATCTGTGGAAAAAATGAACGAAATCGAACAACTGCTTCTGGTGGTAATGCTGTTTTCAGGCAATACCTTTTTCACAATGGAGTGCATGGTCGAAGGGGATAAGCCATGCACACATCCAATTTGACTCTTGCCCTCAACTTTCTCATGCTGCTTTATAATGTCCAATTTAACATCCAAGGTCACAGATACATTAGGTCTCTTCACAGGTGAGGCAGCATAAGTAGAAGAATGCTGCTTGGGAGGCATTATGGATATTTCTTGTGATACAGTACACTACCACACAACAAAACAGATCAAAGCAGATGCTCGAATGGCCCAGCATATGATTATACAACAAAAATGCTTCACCGCGCAGTGCTTAAGCCACCAAGCAATATGGGAGTACTTCTGACATTGGAAGATGAGAGCTACAGCTACCCTGTGTGGCTTGAAGTATGACTGTAACATGGGCAAAGATTCATATCAGTTACAGCACGGAAACTTCTTTTAAAAATTTATTTTCCAGGTGTATTTTGTGTTGTTTCAAACGAATCTGACCTTCATTTCCGTCATAAATGAGCCGTTATGGAGATGTGACCCCCCAATTATCAACAATAATGCTTGTTGAAAGTGGGCAAGGTTTTGAAGTAGAGGTAAATTGTGGGGTAAAATACTGAAAAGAACTCCAAACAAACCTTTGAAAACCTTACCTTACCTTTAAAAATTCCCAAAACTATAAAAAGCTAAAGGTACCTTATTTGTGTTTTCATTGTTTAGTATGTGATGGTGGTGGTGTTCAGATGAGGAGGGACTTATAAACTCTAAAGCAATTCTTAACCTTTTTACAAGCTAGGTTAGGTAAGGTTTTCAAAGGTTTGTTTGGAGTTCTTTTCAGTATTTTACCCCACATTTTCCCTCTACTTCAAAGTCCTACTCACTTTCAACAAGCATTATTGTTGATAATTGGGGGGTCACATCAGATAAAATACTAAAAAAATATAAATTTGCAACAGAAACATAATAGAATAAGATATATACATACAGTATATACAGTATATATTTTTTAAATGAAGTTCCATGGTGTACCTAAAATGAATCTTAACAGTAGCATATCATAATTCTTTAGGACGATAATTGAAAAGGAGTGTTAAAATATTAATTACAAATTGCAAGATATTCCTCTATTTGGTAATACAGAATTGTTCCTGTACATGTATACCACCCATTTTCATCCAGTTTTGTATCGAAGATAAATTTTTCCTTAGTTGGGGAAAACTGTAATAAGTGCAGTAGCTATAGGAAATGAAGTGTTTGTGTTTTTTATTTTTCTCTCTTATATTGTATATGAGGCGTCTAGGGTAGCACAGGCACCCCCTTGAAATTCCTTTTTCTGTTGTGTTAAAATGTCCTGGGTCAGTTAGTCTGTGCTCTCTTTTGCTGGCCATTGAAATAAAGTACTGTATAGGGTAGTGTAGCAGACAGACTCGCCACCTCAGTTGTGACCGGGTGACCAATGGGAACACCAGATGACCCACTCACCCTTCCTTTCAGCCAATCAGCATCATGATGCCACACAGTCTTGTCCACACCTTTTTCCGAGCCTAAGTTATGTACACAGCGACACATTTTAAGGCTGTTTTTGTGTATTAAATAGACATTTTGTGACTGGAAAATGAGTTTCTCGAGTAGCGAAGTGTTGCCTGGCTTCTCAGGGCTATCACAGAAGCATACACAGCATGAGGAAAAGTCTCACCTGTGCTTGTAAGTACAGTAAACCCTCTATAACTTGGCACATACGGGGCTCTGGCCTTGCTGAGTTATCCCAAATTTCGACTTATCGAGGCACTTCTCCCCTCATACAACAAAAAATTATCGACCCATAATATGTATAAGTAACACTTACCAGCACTGCAGGCGAAGAATGAAGCAACATAGTAGGTGACACAGAGGTATGGTAGGTGACAGGTATGATAGGTGATGCAGGTGGCCAGATATTCCGAGATTTTCCCAGATAATTTTATATATCTCGGCATTTTCCGAGTTATACTATATTACATTCTGAGACTGCTGTATATCCATGCCGGGTTATCGAGGGTTTACTGTACCAATATTATTTTACTTTATGAGTTTCCCCATAAAATAATACTTACGTGAGTTTATAACTACTGTATGCACAGTACTGTTCTGTGTAAACATCTTTTTTCACATGTACTGTAATATATTTTTTATTGAATATTGGTGATATTTATTAGTAGAGCAAGCTTGTCACTGCATCGTGCACACAATCTACACCTAAATAGAAACAAAATAAAACATAACTGGCCCAGTTCTATCAATATTTGGTGACAACATTTGGTTAATTCGTCTGGGCTACGCTAGATGCCTCACATGAAAGCAGAGGTGTAGGACGGGAGTGGGTAAGTTATTGTAATAAAGAAAGGCCTCATGTTTATAAACATCAAATACACTTCTGGTATACTTCCAGTGTACAAGTTGTGAAGACAAACCTAGTAGTAGAGAGATGGCCCTAAAATAAGACATAGCCTTATACATGTTACTAATGAGCAACTGGCTCGTCACATAAAAATTACAGTATGTACGAACAGGTACCAAAATTTTTTTAGATTCAGGTTAGGTCAAGTTATATAAGGGAGGACACTGCTCCACACAGTAACTAGAGAAGAGATGGGGAGGCTATTGTGTGTAGAGCTGTTTTACATGTACTGTACTGTAGCTTCTTCCGTATAGCGTTATACAGTTACTCCCCGACTTACAGCCACCCGGACATACGACCGCCTCAGTCGTACCAAAATTTTGTCACATTACGTATTTTCGAGTCCCAAAGTCAGTGATTGTGCTGTGTACTGACAAAATTTTCGTTTATAATTCACTTTAAAATGGCTGGCAAGCTTAAAAGTTAGAGTTTTGTGGTGCTGAGAAGAAAAAGAGACACCCATTTTAGATTTTCTACGTATTATTTAAGCATTTTCGACTTATGACCTGGATTTGGGTCCCTAACCCCGTCATAAGTCGGGGAGCAGCTGTAATGAAATAATCTATTATACAAATGGACAACAGAAATACAATCACCTGTTTCTATTACTGGTATAGTGGCTGGTTCATTTTGTAAGATGAGGCAACTCTCTGGAATGCTTATCTAGCATCCTAGTGTGGCTACCTTTGTGAGGATCCTTAGGGCCATTCTGGGAGATTTAATACAGTGGAAACAAACACAGGGATGCCACATCTCACAAAACATGCCAGCCACTGTGTAGGTGATTGTATATGACACTAAGGGATCAGTTTAATGGTGGAGTAAACTGTTAACAACTATTTTGATGTATCTTAGAATGCTATAGTACTTTACTGTAGTAGGACAGATTATACTGCCAGATTCTGGAGTCACTAATTCTAAGGGGATAACTTAACTATAGTCTTAATTTCAAAGGTTGCTGCCACCAGAACCCCTCTGGGCAGTATGTAGCCCGTTAGGTAGCGGCCAGAGTGGACTAGGCATTGGGTTAGGTTTTTCATTGACCAGATCGATAAGGGGAAAGAAGGGTGAAACCATAACATGTCTTAACTAATTTATTCTTTATAAGACACATTGCATTCCGTTAAAATACAAGTGAGTTGGCATTCCTCAGAGGAACAACGATGAGTTTGGTTACCCTGCTCGACAACAGACGTCTTACATTAGTTGCGTGTCATCCACATATTTATTGCATAACAATCCGTGACCTCCTTACCTCGGTCATCCCTTCTTACAATAACACTCAACACGTCAGACTGCTCCACCTGTATGGAATATAGCACCTTAGGTTATCCTACATAGCAGCATCATCTCACCTCTCTGTAGCATCACCTCCACACCTGTTACACTCCACCCCTGCAAGTATGGGACTCCTTGTAATTTCTAGGTACACATATCAGGCACCTCGTCCGCACACCGCCCTCGGTGGGTAGAGACAAGGGTTTCACCAAGCGACATACCAGTACTGTTTCTATGCCTGGTATTATAGGTCGCTCCAAGTGACAACCGCGGAGTTTCGCAAGTATTTCGTTATGTATTCCTACTCATTTGTAGTGGTATGCCGGGAATCCACAGGTTCACAGTGGATTAGCATAGCTGGAAGTAGTCATCTCACATGGTGGGACGCTCACGGGGGTAATGGTCGCCGTGTTGGTGAGTTCAGAGCATGCGGGGGACCTGTGTTGATGAAAGGAGCAGACACATCTGAAGAATAATGCCTGATGGGCCGTTATCACACGCCCTAACACATTACTATTTCACTTATACATCAGGCAAAGTTTTAAGCCGTAATAACTGTTATATAAGTCTTGTTTGAAGGCTGAATACAATCGGATGAAGTTCACTGACCTGGGTTGATGAAAGGAGCAGACATTTCTGAAGACCAATGCCCTCCGCTCCTCTCACCGACGTAGGCCTACAGTTTCCAATCTTTAATTTTCACTTTGATTTCTTATGGTTCTCACATGAACACTTTCCTGTATATTGTAACTTCATGTCTTATAAATACATATTTTAATCCGAACTTACATTCTAGAATACGGTTCGGGTTTAACAGTTCTTGGGGAAATTAATTGGGTTATATCAACAACTCACACCTGTAGGCCGGGCACAAAGGACGTTACCCTGAAACAAAGCCGAATGTAATTAGGGATCCTCCTCTCACACATTGCACTGTTTGAACAGACATAAGATTCTCTGATCACTGTACATGTCGTGGGTATACGTCACGCGAGGATACGAGGTGTATTAAGTTCACACCAATGTATACAAGATATTTCCTTTCAAGTATAGTTTCTGGGTCACTTCCAACACCTCACATAGTTTTGCTACATTTATCATTTTTCCAGATCATTGTTCTCGTGTATTTTCATGTGATATCTGCGGAAGTTATGTTCGCTAAACGTTAACAGACGTAAATAGTATGACCTTCAAACCACGATCCACACTTAGTCCTACAGTACACTAGTCCGGCTCAACTGAACTTTCCCAATCATCTTATAGATACCTGGAGTTCTCCTTAATGCTATGAATACATACAATTAATATTATATAACCGTACCTGGGTACAATTCAACAAATGATTCAGTAACATTGAGTAGGTGAGTTATCCTTTACCAATCTTTCCCGTTTTCTGAGATTCTACAAGCCTGGTGGATTTGAATGTTATGCAGTGTAATATGAATTAGAGGGTTTTTTAGAAATGACTATGATGTGTGCAGTACAAGATCTACACACACACATATGTAAATGTCTGGAAATCATGATGTATCTTGTTTTGTGGTCCAAGTCTTTAATATACAGTAATAATATACATTTCCCTGCAGTGCCAGGATGGGGGGGCTCCCAAGTCCATGGCTTTGGTGAAGAACCAGGAGTCAAGACTCAGATCTTCCACTTTATTCGTTCCATCAAGACAGTAATGAAATGTAAGTTCTAGTTTTAACTTCTTTATTAGTTATGTTGTTTTAGGAGAATTTCTGCAAAAAATAATTTGTAGTTGTACCGGTAATAGTAGTACAGTAATTGTAGTACCTGTATTTTTGCAGTAATATTTCTTTTATAGTACAGGTACAGACCTTCAATACTAGACCTCAGAAAATCAGAGATTCTTGAAACCTGGTCATTTTCTTCCTTTGGATAGGTTAGATTTTCTTCCTTTGCCAAATCAAGTTTTGCATCCATACAATCTCAAACTCAGTTGAATGTTTTTATTTGTATTTATTTTTATTATAAAATAAATAAAGCAGTATTGCGTACTGTACTTACAAATATAGTTAGATACAGTACAGTATACTGAAGTCTGTTTAGAAGTTGGGAGTTCCCTAAAGGGGAAATGGGTTTGTTTACGTCCCATCCCAGTAGATTCTCTTGAGTCAGGAGACATTTGTCAGAAGTAGAAGTTCGTAAATATTTATTGTCTCATTTAGTAAATAGCTCAATACAGTATACAGTACAGTACAGTACCTTGGTTATCATTTATTTCAGTAACAGTAGAGGAGATGGTTAGCACCAAGAATTTATAGAATTCATTCAAATTTTTCACATTTGATTTTTTTATGAAAGTAAGTACGAGTATAATAAAAACTATACAACTACTTTTTCCATCAATTTATTTTTAATTTTTCTCTGTATGCCATCATAGATCTCCTGTAGTGGGTAGGGCGTGAAAGATGAGAGAAATTAGTAATATCTCTGTTAGCCACAACTCCCCAATACCCATAATTGAAATTGGCTTGGAATTTTTCCGGAAAAAATCTCTTAATTCCGGGTCTGTGAATGAGTTTCCAAGGTTGAAGATCGGGAGCATTCTCTGGAAGATTTCAAGAAAACTGCGGGTAATGGAAACTACATTTTTTTTTTTCCGGGTCTGGGAGCAAGTTCCAAGGGAACTCTCAACCTCTAGATAGTTTGTTTGTTTTTGTTTTCTGAGTGTGGACGGTATGCAAGGATGATTTCTTTATTTGGTTGTAGGAAGGCAATAAAATTTTCAACTGATTTTCTGTGAGTGTGTGGACACAAAACTTGAGTACAGTAGTCTACTGGTAGGCCAATGAGGGTAACATGGATGATCTAAGTCCCTGGAAACTGGAAAATACTGTATGTAGTCAAAAAATGTTTGGTCTTGGTTCCAAGGGTCATGGATTTGAGTGTCTACACTGTACCTGTAGTTGAGGATATAAATGGTACGGTACAGTACTGTATTTATATATGTACAGAAAGATGTCAAAGTGATTGCTTTTTGATTTCCATGATTGAAATTGGAGTCAACTTTTAGCAAAGCTGAACACTAGAACCATGTAGCAAAAATTTTCCAAATTCATTTCTTGAATTATTTTAACATTAGGTTTATAAAAGTTATGAGTAAATAATAACAGGACATTACAGTATGTAGGTACTGTATGTCCAAGAATATTTATAGATGGCAGACAGAACTTTTCAAATGATCCCCCACATGAATGGTGCCATCAGAGCTTTTCTCGGTCACCGGATTTCAAGAGGGTAAAACTTTGACAAAATAACTTGTTCTCACCAGAGTTTTACACTTCAATATACTACTGTACATAACCTTTGGTACATGTGGTCTGTCACATTTATATGTCTTTATATATACTATACAGTACATACCTGTATAATCTTTATTAAAGGTGTATTGTCTGGATTGTTCGGTGTTCATATAACTCTGTGTGAAGCATAACTGGTTTAGTTGGAAATATTGATAAAATTTCAGATCACATGAATGTGTTGGAAGTACAGTACCCAGAATTGATTCCTACTTTGGTCAGATGTGATAAGGGTGTTATCCAGTATGACCTTACCAACCATCAACACAGGTTTTCTCCAACTCTGGCTTCCTCTTGTACCATCAGTGATTCATAAGGACTAAGATCTGGATATACAGGCCTGATGCCTTTGTCCATTATACCTAATTAAATATGCCTCAGTGTTTCAAAGAAATATGTAATGCTAAGTGTAAAGGTTAAATGTTATAGCTGAGGTTGAGAGGTTAAATTTGACTTTTTATGTAATGTTGTGGAAAATTCTTCAAGAGTATAATTGTTTACAAACTGCTTTTCTTCAGTCAGTACATCAAGTACAGTAATGTACTCTGCTAACACAACATAATACTCCAGAGGAACTCAGTGTGAACCAGACATGTACCACTCCATACCCTCCTTTGATAAAGGTCCATTTGATAGGATTTCTTTGGTCTTGTTGGTATATTTTTTCCTCGTCTCTTATCCGGGGATTTTGTTTCAGATAAATACGTACACCAGTGTCTAAGTGTCGTATTTTTCTCTCGTTTCAGATCCGCTCATTCCCATGAACATCTTCATCATTCTTTTTAAACTCATCTTTGGTTGATAAGATGACTTTTTGTTACACATTGTATTTGCTTTAACAAGACTCAAGTTTGCTAAACAAGCATGTAGTCTCACTAACTGTGATGCTCAGGAAGTCATATTTTGGATGGCTGTATTGTTTTCTAATAAAGACAAATGGTTTTTGTATCAGTCTTTTTGTAACTATAAACTAAATGTATGCAGATTTTAGGATCAGTACAGTATGTGTGGTATTGTAGTCCTGTTGTGTCTTATCCCTTTATATGCTTGCCTTGCACTATACTCCTCTACTAGTTTATTCACCTTGTGCTTTATGTGTTTTTTAGCCCCTTAATCTACCCTTAAAAGAGTGAGAGAAGAACAGATAGTAGACTGTAGTTTCTATGATGATCTTAGTTGTTGTGCCCATAAAAGTGTGGAGATTACTGAAGCATTTATGGGAGGTCCTGTAGGTGTCACCATACTCTGATGTGGGAACAGTGGGGCTACAGGGGCAAGAGGAAACACATTTATGATACTTTCTTTTATTTTTTGAGTATGAAGCAATACAAAAAACACAGCCATATCAAAGTTCCATCTAATCTAGTGAAGAAATTCTATTTTGACCAAAGTGATTTGTAGTAACTGCTGTTAAATAAATCTGAATATGCAATTACGGTGAGCCTGAATACTGGTTATAAAAAAAAACTGAATAACATACAGTACCTGGCTTTCATGCTTGGTGAGCTCGGGTACTGTAGTGATCAGAGAAAGGACTCGTACTTCATCTTACTTCACTCTTTTTTGTGAGTGTTTCCTTATATAAATCAAAGTACTGTATTAGACATATGAGGAGGACTGAGGGTTTGTATTTAAAGGACATGAGCTCACTATAAGCAGTTCGTTTGTGAAATCTGCACCTTATAGGAAACCGGTAGAAAATGAAGTGCAACAAGCAGAATAAATGAAAACTGAAACCTGTTAAGCTGTAAGTAACTGTCTCAGCACAAGCAGGTATCAGCACACACACATTATTTATCACTGGTGAGAAGGGGAAGAACCACTCCTATTTTTACTGATCATTTGTATCCTACTACTGCACAGAGGCACAATGATGTTCTATGATGAATTTACTGGAGTTTTGTGTATGGTTAATCTGTACAGTACTGTTATTGAACAGCAGAGGTTTGTATAGTGATTATATTCTGGGTGTGCATAATACAACTTTTAACAAGATACTGTATAATTTTTAGTTGGCATAATGAAGGATTCTTACTAAACCTTGCACAATGTCAGGATACTCAATCAGTGTCAGTATACCTGTATACTCATATTATGTCAGTATATTCACACACCAGTAAAGTATATTTGGCCTCAGTCAAAGACAGAATAGAAAGAATTATATTGGCATATTATCCAGGGAAAATATTTACAATATTGTGAATGCCAACTTCGTCAATCACCCCAACTTACAAGATAGAAAATTACATTACCAGGATTTGATGTCCAAGAGTGACATCATCTGTTTGCATTAACTTTCAAAATACACATTGTGTAGTTTCATAAAGTAATACAGAAGAGGCATTGACACTTGTGTAAGTTTATGTCACTACCTACCATAATATAGTATGAACAATGATGGCATTATTAAATTTTGTATCATTGTAAGAGATACCAAACAAAAATGGAATTTAAGCATTTTAACATAAGTTGCTCAATAGGAATTCACATTGTTACAATTTCAAAAGGATCACTGTGTAAGACTTTTCATCATGGATGGACACCTTCATATACTGCACTTGGTCTATTTCATCCAAGGATCCCTTACTCATCTTTTGAATACAGTAGTAAAAACTAAAATTCCCTGGATGGTGATGAATGAGTCGCAAACACTGCAGTCTAATTTATGCTTACACGGTGCTGTATGTCATGATACTTTTACCAGTAACTTCACCCCCAAGATACATATATATATATATATATATATATATATATATATATATATATATATATATATATATATATATATATATATATATATATATATATATATATATATATATATATATATATATATATATATATATATATATATATTTTTTTTTTTTTATGACAATGCAAGAGCTGCAATTACTTAGCATGTGCAGGAACTTTTTCTAATAAGTTCTAATATAAAAATAAGAGGAGGTGTGTCATATAAATAGTAGTCATAATAATGATGAAATTCCACTGTAGGAGAAGATAAAACCCAGAACAGGGAAATGTGGTAGGAGAAAGCAGCTCAAAGCAAGCATATAAAACATGGGACGAGGTTGAGCAAACAAGGACTAGCAATATTTTGGGGGGACAGAAGAATCTCTCACTGCTTAAGATGACTGTAGGTTACAGTGGAAATATACAGTGCTGTCGTTCTTCAGTCTTTCATCTTCTCCTACTGTGGGATTTCATTGTTATGATTTATGTGGTATTACATAATTTTTTTCAATCAGTTATAATTAACATATATACTTTCAATGTTCACATATATTATTGTCTAGGTGGAGCTCATCTTGACCCTAAGAAACTTCAGTGATCTATCTAACTGGGATTATAGACCTGGAGGTTACAAAATACTACCAAGGTCAGCCTTTAGCAAGAGTCAGCCCCGCTTGGCAATTAAATGGTTAGTCATAAAAAGAAACCTCAAATAAAAGAGAAAGATAAGAGAAAATAGCACTCAGCATCATGAGCTTAGGTTTATATTGAGAATAATGTGGTTAAAACAATTCAAGTTGAAGATATGAGCAAGTATGTTTTGAGGATTCATGCTGGAACATGTTGTGTTAGTGCTTCCTACAGTCATCCTGCATACTGTTCGATCTTCCTTGTGTGTGAAGATTGTAGATTGAAAGATTCTTAAATCAATATAGTACAGAATATTCTGTACAGCCTGCTCGTAAGCTGTTATTATACTGTACAGTAATGATAGCTGGTGTATTTAATATCAGAATTAACACTTATACTGCCCATAGATATATTAGTAGTTGCAGGTGAAACTGGGTTTCATAGGCATGACTGTATATAAAGATTACAATAAGACAAAAACTGTGGTGGAATGAACGAACAAACATGTTGGGTAGATCATGGCGTACAGGAACTACAAAGATAGGGGGAAAATAGTAGGAGAAAGCAGTGCAAAACATGTGTAGAAGGTAACAGGGATAAGGCTGAGCAAATAAGGATTCAAGCGAGTATTTGAGGTGGACAAACTGATATCAAGTCATGTTTGCTGTTTAAAAAATAGCATTGAATTAACAATGTACAGATTATACTTTCATGTGAGGTATTATTCCCAATTAACTAAGGAATAAGAAAGGTGGCTGTACAAGGCATTGGGAGAGTACTGTATATAAGAGATCTGGATCTGGTATAGGAGCAGGGATTGTGTGGTCTGCTTAATGTTGTGGAGCATAACTCGTTAGGGAAATATATGCTGTACAGTATTGGATGTAAAACAACAAAACAAGGGTGACAAAAAATGGCTTATGAGCTATGCCAGTGAGCTAGTTTGTTTGACATGGGCAAAAAGATCATCGAATGAGAGAATTAATCCGTCATAAATTTAGCTAAAAGTATTTATAGTAAAAGTTTCTGGACTTCTCTTTTGGTGAGTCTATAACAGTAGATATGAAAGAGTGGTAGAGAAGTGATGCAGTGCAGGAGAATCATGAGAGGCAGGGGGTTGAAAGTCAATGCTGGGAAGACGAGAGGTTATGTTGTGCAACAAGATGGAAAAAGAGAAATTCTGACAGGTTTAGATACTGAGTTACAGTCCTGTAAACTGAGGAACATACAGGTAGTGAAGGACGGGGTGAGGGTGGGCAAAATGGAGGGAGGTTGAAGGAGTTTCATGTGATAAGGAAATTAGTTGAAAATTTATAAGACGGTGGCTAGGCTTGTACTGATGTATGGAGCAGAGAAGTGGGCATTGAGGAAAGAGGAGGAGAAGGATTTGTTGGAGAGAGCTGTGATGAAGATGTTTCAGTGGATATTGGGAGTGTCACTTAGAGACAGGTTGAACCAAAGAACATTAGAACAAGAGTGATATGGCAAAAAGAGGGGCAAGACTGGGATGGCTTAAGCATACTGGTAAGAATTGATGAGAGGAGGGGGAGGTGATCATAAGCCAGGAATAAGCCAGTCAGAAAGAGGACATCAAGATGAACATGGAGAATAAGGTGATGGGACAAGGTTAAGTGAGACATGCAAAACAGTGAACTAAGAGTGAAGACTGAAAAAAAACATGGTAATGACACTGTTGAAGACATGAGCCCTAACTAATAGAAATTACTAAGGAAAAAGGTTGATCATAATACAATACTCAATTTTTAAGGAAATGCCAAAGTTTCATTTATGATAAATTCACCAATCTACATTAAGGAAAGTTGATTTTATAATGCAAACACTAGTGCCAATGACTTCTAAGCCAAACTTTCTTAGTGAAAGTGAAGTAGGTTAAGTGGGATTAACATTAGTCTATATATGTATGAGTATACTGTACAGTACTGTATTATCTTTACTCTTTGTCTACTGTTGTGAGAGTTAGATCAAGGGCTACAGACACAAACAATTGGACAATGATACAAGGTAAGTGGAAATGAAAGAAAAGGGCTAAAACAAATAGAAATGCTGTACATTATACACTATTTGTATCCTCAACTTGCATACTTAGTAAGTTATAGAAATTGAATCCTTTGCCTCTACAGTGATTCATGTAATATTCATCATTGTTATTAATTAGTGCAGCGTACTGTCATGTTTCTTATATAATGGTGTGGATGACTTAATGTAGCACTGGTGCATACACAGTTAAAAGATCAGCTCTCAAAATACCCTTTTGTGTGTATTTTGCCTTGTTTATAATACAGTGGTCCCTCGGTTAACGAATGCCTCGGTTAATGAATTACCTTCCATAAGACTCAATTCGGTTCACAAAAAAAAATTCGATTTACAAAATCCTTACGAAAATCACGTTTTGTTGTGAGCATCAGCTGATGGCCCAGTCTGCCAATTCAGTAATCTGTTCTAAGTTTTAATTCGTTTCCAATGGTGTAAATACACCTGTATCAATAAATTTGAGCTTTTTAATATTTTTTATTGTTTTATATTAAAATTATTAGTCATTTTAACATTTATTTACTGTCAAGA